AGCAGGGATGCTGGTCACAGGGTGATCAACCCTTTAAAGGGAGGGTGGTCTCTACCTCACCTGTGACAAGGAGAGGAGAACTGGCTGAGTGGGGACAATGAAGGGCGGGGTGGGAGGTTATGTGATCCAACCAGGCCTGAGGCAGGTAAAACAGAGGACCAAAAGGAGGAGGCCTGTGGACATGGTAGAGGAGACCTTGGATATTCTTCAGAGCAATAAGGCCAAACTCTAGTCTATTTGGATCTTTTTCAGAGCAATAAGGCCAAACTCTAGTCTCGAAGTCCTGAGAGTCCCTGCTGAGAGAAGGGGATGAAGAGGCCTTGTCAGGGTCCTTTGCAGGCAATGACTCCTTTCCGGTCCTTGTGAGGAGCTCTGCAGAAAAGGGTCAAGGGGATGTGTGCCTACAGCCCAGCTGCTTCCTCAGCCCCAGGGATGGGAGGAGCATGGACTTAGGGTATGTTTAGTTGACAGAGCTTTTCTGGGAACACGTCCACTTTTCCAAAGAAAATTTCAGAAAAGCAGACGCGTTTTGTCGGCAATCCTGTAAACCTTGTTTTATGAGGAGGAAAGGGATGTTCTGAAAGAGGGTTTTTTTATGACATTTGGCCCAGTGTAGATGGGCAAAATGTGAGAGAAGTCTCTTTCAGAAGAAAAGCAGAAAAAGATATGCAAATTGCTCTTCTGACTTTTCTTTGTAGTGTGGACATAGTCATGCTGTATATAGCTCTGGGAGGAGGTGGAAGTTGGAGGGGCAGAGACTGGGGGTCCTTCACTGCCCTAAGCTCCATGTGTGGGGAACAGGATGGGTGGGGTATGGGTCACTCTCTCCCCCTCACTCTGACGTGCAAGCCATTAATGGAAGGTCACATTTCACCTGCATGAGCCTTGGAGGATTCCCAATTGATGAAAATCCTACTTAGGCCTGAAATTCCTTGTTCCTCTCTAGTGGAGGCTCACTGAGTGACTGTCTGGGGCTGAAGGAAACCCTAACACTGGGGGGGAGTGAGTTTCCCAAGCCTCTGGTTATTTAGAAAAAAGGGGTTTTGTTGTAAACGTGACAGTTGAACATTTCCCTACCTGGAATTCTTCGGCGGCTTCCTCTGCAGGAATCACTGTGTGATCTTTGTGCCCCTTGGATCTGTCGCACACCACACAGATGGGGATTTCATCCTCTCTGCAGAAGAATTTTAGAGGCTCCTGGTGTTTCTCACACAGTCTCTCTGGGGCTGGCTCCCTCCTTGCCTGCAACTGGAGTTCTCTGGCTGCCTCCACAATATTCCTCAGCTGCCTATTCAGTCTGAAGTTCCTCTGAGGAAAGGTCTCTCTGCACAGAGGGCAGAAGACATCTGTAGTGAGTCCCCCCCAGCACTGGGTGATGCAGGCTTGGCAGAAACTGTGATCACAGTTTAGAGACACCGGATCGTTCAAATACTCCAGGCAGAGGGGACAGGTCACTTCATCCTGGAGTGTTTTTGCTGGATTTGCAGCAACAGCCATGGCTTCTCATGCAAGGAAGAGACCAGAGAGCAATTTTGTTTCACTTCCTTCTGCTCAGAAATGAACTGGTTGGATTTGCACAGGCATTAAGCATGTGTTTCCTAGGTGTAGCCACATGCTGTTTGTTTTCTGTGGACCGTAAAGAATATTTTCATGAAATCTGATGAGAAGGGTGTGACACTACACCCTCATATTTTTATGAGAGTACATTTTTAAATATGCAAAAAATTAGATGTGTTTCATGCAAACAGATCAAGTAACCTATAATTCAAGAGCCTCTGATCCCCTAAATGTGTATATTCTTTATTGTGTGCATGTATCATTCTTGTGCATAAAGTATTGTGTCCAGTTCTGGGCGCCACATTTGAAGAAGGATGTGGAAAAATTGGAGAAGGTCCAGAGAAGAGCAGCAAGAATGATTAAATGTCTAGAGAACAGGACCTATGAGGGAAGACTGAAAGAACTGGGTTTGTTTAGTCTGGAAAAGAGAAGACTGAGAGGGGACATGATAGTGGCTTTCAGGTATTTAAAAATGTCCTAGGTTGGACATTAGGAAAAACTTCCTAACTGTCAGGGTGGTTAAATACTGGAATAAATTGCCTACAGGGGTTGTGGAATCTCTATCTCTGGAGATTTTTAAGAGCAGGTTAGATAGATATCTATCAGGGATAGTCTAGATGGTACTGGATCCTGCCATGAGGGCCGGGGACTAGACTCAATGACCTTTCAAGGTCCCTTCCAGTTCTAGTGTTCTTTGATTATACTCCACCTCTGGTAGCCATAACATCTGCCAGACGGGTGGGAGAAATTGCAGCCCTCATAATGGACCAACCTTTTACGGCCTTCCATAAAGACAAGGTGGTACTTAGGCCTCATCCAAAATCCTTACCAAAGGTCTCTTCTGCATTCCACTTCAATGAACATATCAACTTACCTGTCTTCTTTCCCAAATCTCACAACAACAGGACTCAGGCAACTCTTCATACCCTCAATCACCGCAGGGCCATTGCATTCTACATAGATAGAACTATACATATCCGCAAAACCAACAGATTGTTCATTTCAACTACACAGCCATCTCTGGGCCTTCCTATCTCCTCTCAGAGACTCCCTAAATGGATTGTGGAATGTATAACATTGGCTTACTCGGCCTTTGGCAAAGATCAACCTCCACAACTCCAAGCGCACTCCACCAGAGCCACAGCTGCATCAACAGCACACATCTAGGGTATCCCCCTGGTAGATATTTGCAAATCATCCACCTGTCATCCACCCATACTTTCACAACCCACTACGTGTTCAACACATACCCTTCTAGGGGAACCCTAGTCAGCCACTCCATCCTGATGGCTGTCCATACAGACACTATGCCCGCCGAAGCTGCCACCTCCAGCGGACACACTGCTTCATAGTGACCTAAGGCAGAGAACCTACGGGGACAGCCTGGAAGAAGAAGAGAGGGTTACTCACGGGGAGGATAAGAGTTTTGCGGGACCCAGGGCAGCACAATTTCGCGGGGCCCCCCCTTTGGAGAGAAAATAGGAAAGATTGAAGGCTATTTTCATGTTACATGTGAATTGGGTAAATTTGATAGAAACTTAATTTAGTTGGCTAATTTTTCATTTTAATTATATTGTAATTCATTCTTAAACAAAATTCTGCATTAATAATTAAACATTTTCATTCGTATTTAAGTCTGTTTTAGCTGTCTAGCTCTTTTGGCAGCCGGTGGGAAAAGGCTTCTTCCAAGCATCAGCCCCTTCTCCAGCCCCAGGCACTGGAGCAGCGAGGTGCCTGGGGAGAAGGGAAATCCTAACCCAGTTTAGAAGGGGCTGGCTCATGTGTCTGAGCCAGCAGCCTCTCAGGAGCCTGCAGAGCAGCTGGAGGAAAAGGAGACGGCACCTCAGGCTCCATGCAGGGCCAGAGGAGGGACCATAGAGGCTGCCCAAACTGGCCCTTCCGAGAAAGGGAGCTCGGACACAGCAAACGCGCCTTCCACTGTCGCCCCCCATGGGAGTGGCCCGAGCAGAGTGCTCTGCCAGCCTGATGCTGCGCAGCTTGTGGGCTGGGTCCCTCCTGGCTGGGGCTGGGGGCAACCAGCTGGCTCAGTCGCCTTGCGTCCACACCAAGGCAGCTGTGTGGGCCTTTGGTGCCCGACTGCTCCAGCTGCTCTACTGCCAGGAAGGGAACAGCCCCCGATGCGCAGACCCCGCGTAGGCATGGACCAGCTAATGTGGGGCTCACGAGGCTCCCCCACACCGAGACCACCCCTTCGCATGCTGGAGAAAAGGACTCTGGCTGCAGGATCGGGCAGTAGCTGGGGGGCAGGAGATTTGGGGTGGGGCGGGGCCAGGCACAGCGCCGCGTTGCCGGATCCTGCGCCTCTCAGGAGAGTCACCTCCAGGGCCAGGCTGCAGAAGCTGCCACTTTATTATTTTTTACTCTTTCCCAGGGGCCAGGCTGCAGAAGCTGCCGCTTTATTCTTTTTTACTCTTTCAAAGAGTTGGTCTCGTGTTTGGGTCTGCGGAGCTGGGGAAAGGCGCATCATGGTACCCACCCGCCAGCAGAGACCCCCCCAGAGTGCCTGCGGGCCGGCCGGGCTGCTCTAGAGACAGAACTGCAGAAGCTGGGGGAAAGCTCTGTGGGACAGGGCCCTGAGAGCACTGCCCACACGCTTGGACATCTCTCTGCCCAGGTCCCACCCACTCCCAGGATCGCGTGGCTTCCCTGTGAGGCTTGGTCCCTGAGAGCGCTGCCCACACGCTCAGACATCGCTCTGCCCGGGTCCCACCCGCTCCCAGGATCTTGTGGCTTCCCTGTGAGTTACTCACCCTCTGCAGTAACTGAAGTTCTTCAAGATGGGTGTCCCTGTGGGTACACCACCACTCACCCCTTCTCCTCTCTGCTTCAAGGCATCCTCTTGTGTATCTACCAGGGTAGAGAAGGAACTGAGGGGATTGGGGTTCACACATGCACATTACCTGCTAGCGTGTCAGGATTGCTGTGCATGCACAAACAGCCTAGCTAAAGCACTTCTAAACAAATCTTCTGGCCAGACACACTGGGGAGCCCAAACATCTATATGTCTACACTGCAGGCTTCTCATGCAAGAATTGTTTTGTGCAAGAGTTCTTGCGCAAAAAGTCTTGTGCAAGAGTGCGTCCACACTGCCATGTGCTTTTGCGACAGAGATGTGCTTTTGTGCAAGAGTGTCCATGGCAGTGTGGACACTCTCTTGCACAAGAAAACTCTGATGGCCTTTTTAGCCATAGGGGTTTCTTGCGCAAGAAACCCTTTTGCCCATCCACACTGCCTTCTTGCACAAGAGCTCTTGTTCAAGAGGGTTTATTCCTCATGGGGAAAGGAATAGCTCTTGTGCAAGATACCCTGTTTTCTGACGCTTTACTGTAAATTTACTTGCGCAAGAACGTGCGAGTAGTGTAGACGCTGCACAAGTTTTTGTGAAAGAACGACCGTTCTTGTGCAAAAAGCCTGCAGTGTAGACATAGCCCTAAGGTGGAGCAGCCAGAGGGAAACCCAGCTCAAATAACTTCATTTACTGCAGAGGGTGAGTAACCCTCTCTTCTTTCAGAGAGGATCCTTATCTCCAAACCATATTGAGGTGTGACAGGGAGGAACTGAAAAGAGAACAACATGCCAGTTATTTTTCTACATTTGCTTTCTATCTTGGAGAAGGAATCCAGAGAGACACATTTCACTTCAAAGAATAAATAGAATTTTGGCAGAAATATGGAAGGAAAGTCTTGCAATCAGGGTTTTTTTTTTTTTTTGCTATTGCTTTGTAGATGATTCTGCCTCCAAAATATTCACTGACCATGAGAACTAACTAGAGGAGAATGGATGAGGGTTTTAGAAAACCTTGCAACACTGGGGAGATCTCAAAACTGTTCCAAAGCTTATTTCTAAGACTCATCAGGTAGGTGAGATTCTGTTACTTGAATATTATCCCAACTGATCATTGATATCTCCTAATTAATATTTATTCCTTCGGTGATTTTTTTAACTGCAAAATAATCCAATTTAATCCTGGATAAATTTGTCTTACTCTGAATATAAACTTTGTATTTGAACTATATATTCCAAATGACATATGAACTGCTTTCCCTCTCCTTTCACTGTACTACTTGGCTATTCTGGTTATTTGATTTAAGAGTCTATTTCTTTTCTCCTATATTTCTGTAATTCTTTCAACAGTAAAGCGGAAAAAGATATGGAACTTGCATACCACAAATTGTGTTTCTTTTTCTGACTTACCCTTGCAGTCTAGATGTAGCCACAGTGTTTGTCATTCACGAATATTTTTCTCCATTGATGGAATTATTATTAACCTTTAAATGATCTTCCTTCTTTTTCAAATGTGGAATTTGTAGGAATGGGACAAAATCAGACTTATAAAGGAAACACTTTCCATCTTAATGCAATGGCTGTTCTAACTCCATAATACAAGAGAGTTCACTTAACAATGTATTTATTCCTTTTTATTTACTGTGTTTCCTTTAATGTTTGCCTTTAAGGATCTAGTGTTAATTGGTGTTGATGCTCACTATGATGAGGTTTTTTCTTCTATCCTATTGTCTAGACCAGGCTGCAGTGAAAATGAAGATTCTCTCATTCAGCCACAGTTCCAGAGACAGTTCCCCTCTGGCTGGTTTTATTGTTTTCTTCCTGATTTGTTATGTTTGGAAGATGGAATCAGGTAGGAATCCAGGCTGTGTCTCTAAAGTAACAACATACTTAACTCAGAGTCTATGGAACAACTCACAGTCTGTAAACTTAACCGCAGAGCAAGATTAGCACCTCTAACAGCTCATTGAAGATATTTAAGAGCAGGTTAGATAAACATCTATTAGGGATAAAATGAATGGAAATGCCTATCTCCCAGAACTGGAAGGGACCAGGTCATAAGAACATAAGAACATAAGAATGGCCGTACTGGGTCAGACCAAAGGTCCATCTAGCCCAGTATCCTGTCTGCCGACAGTGGCCAGCACCAGGTGCCCCAGAGAGGATGGACTGAAGACAATGATCAAGCGATTTGTCTCCTGCCATCCCTCTTCAGCCTCTGACAAACAGAGGCCAAGGACACCATTTTATCCCCTGGCTAATAGCCTTTTATGGACCTAACCTCCATGAATTTATCCAGCTTCTCTTTAAACTCTATTATAGTCCTAGCCTTCACAGCCTCCTCCGGCAAGGAGTTCCACAGGTTGACAACACGCTGTGTGAAGAAGAACTTCCTTTTATTAGTTTTAAACCTGCTACCCATTAATTTCATCTAGACTAGAAAGAATACCTTTTTCAGGGAGGGTAATTAGCCATGGGCATAAACCATTATCATCATGGTCCATCTTCCATAAATGACAATTTCTGAATAAAAATGGAATGTTTTACTAACAGATATGATCTAAAAATTATTTTGAGGAAGCTCTATGGACTGGACTATAAAGGCTTAGCAGACCTATGCTCAAACCACTGAGTTATCCCTTCTCCTACCCCTCCCTCAATGTGGCCAGGAGAGGCAAAGAGCAGGGACCCAGCTGGGTGATTGGGGTGGGGAGGCAGAGCAGCCTTGGGGCTGGGCCCTTTCAGGCATCAGGGGGAGGAACCAGGGCTGGGGTGGCCTCAGAACCTCCCCGGTGGCAGGGGGATAGGAAGAGCTGCCAGGGTTTGAGCCTTGCACAAGAAAAGCCCTCTTGTGCAATGCTGTTATTCCTGAAAATAATCAGCGTAGCGGCATTGTGCAAGAGGGTTTTTCTTGCGCAAGAAGGGGCAGTGTAGACAGCTCCTTCTTGCACAAGAGCCTCTTCCACAAATGGTGGCTCATTATATATGCAAATGAGGCATTCCACACTTAGTTTCATTTGCATAGCTCTGGCGCAAGGTCGCGCCAGTGTAGACATAGCAGACATAGCCTTGGTGAGGCCCAGGGAAGGTGGACGCGTAGGGTATGTCTACACTACAGCATTATTTCAAAATATTTAATTTCGATATAACACAAAATGCACACAAAATGCATTTCAAAATAGCTTTTTGCTATTTCGACAGCACGTCCACACCGCTTGGACACTGAATTGCATTTAAGGCCAGCCAGAACTAGTTCCAGAAGGGCATCAGTTCAGAAGTTACCTTGTGGCCAGGGCACCCTGGGAAGGGCTGGAGGCCCCCTATTTCAAAATAAGTGACTACATAGTGCTTATTTCAAAATAGCAATTTTGAAATTGGCACTATTCCTCGTGGAATGAGGTTTACCAATTTCAAAATAAGCTCTCCACTATTTCAAATTAATTTCGAAATAGCAGTTGGCTTGTGTAGACAGCTGTTATTTCCAAATAACTTTTTCTGTGTAGACATACCCCTAGTGGGTGGGACTTTCCCATGGAGGGGAGTGAGGTGGCACTCCTCAACCTGTAGCTCCTTGGACCACATGGGTGGTGGGGGGGTGAGTTTGCTTTCTTCACCTTGCCCATGTGTGTCTTCTGAGCCAGTAGCCGGAGCTGGCTGTGCCCGAGCTGGCTGCAGCCTCATGTGGCTGTGCGCCAACTGCAAGGTTTGAGCAGCAGCACGAGCTCCCTGCTGCATGACAGAGGAGGGGAGGCATGAGCTTGAGCCACGGACCACCTGGGAGGCAGCTGTGGACCATCGCACTTTGAGAACCATTGCCCGCCTAGGGCTTACTTATCTCCCTTTAACACTCTCCCCTGTTCTCCCTCTCCATGAATTGTGTTCACCAGTATCAAGTATCCAACAAAATTTTGCAAAGCTGAAGTTAGCATTTACTGTTGAAAAAAAAAGAATGTTATCATAGCCAAGATACACAAATTATTTGTCCTAGCACTGATTTGGATTCACCTTTATACATTCCTGGTTTGGAATAAGGTGGCTAAACAAAGGTGTAACCCTTCTGTCAGGTGGAGCCAGCAGCAGCCAGGGCTGGGTTCAATTTCCAGGGGTTCCTCTCCATCCATCCAACACAGAACTGGCTTGAGCTCCCACTCAGTAATTTGAAAAATTCACACAACACCCCTGGATGCCTTTGGGAGACAATACTTCCCTACTTGCATGCACAGTCTGAGTGCCGAAAGAAACTTTTCATAAACAGGAGAGAAGTAACTTGGCACTAATTTGACAAAAACACCCCCGGGGTTCACAAACAAAAGCCATGACTCACAGTCCCTCCCCAAGTAGGCTGGGCAATGTCCTTTTCCTCTCAGATTCTTAAGTCCAGCAATGTAAATGTCCCCTTCACCTGCACAGCTCTCCTCTGCACCCCACTCCCAGTCGCTGCCCTTGGCCAGGGCAGACCCAGAGTTCAGAGGTGCAGCCGCAGAGTCACCTCCCATCCTGAGTTGGGGGAGGTAAAGAGGCATCTCTCTCCCTCTGCTCTCACTCACCATCCACCTGCTCTCTGGCGCCACCCTGAGGGCAGCTCATGGCATCTCTCCACCTCTGCCCTGCTGGCTGTCAGTCACCATCCGCTGCCATCCACTTCTTGACTGTAACTTCTGCCCATTCATCTCAAGCAATTTCAGCTCCTGGTGATTTTAACTCTTAGCAAGCAAGGTAGAAGAAATAGAACTCAAACACAATTAACATAGGAAGAGAGGGACCTAATGATGCCTATTTAGCCAGGCTCTTTGAACAGACTGGAGGGAGGGGACGGGAGAGGGAAGGAAGAACAGGTTAAACCAGTCGAGACAAGGAAGCATATGTAGCCACTTGACAAAATAAGCTTCCTGTGCCAGGGTGCAGTCACAGAAGACCTCTCAGGGGGTGCCTCCCAGGGTTGCTGACACAGCCACTGCCACTGGCCTTCCCATTCTCTGGGGTTCTCACTGCCCCGTTCTGCAGGGCCAGTTCTGCTGGTTGCCCCCAGCTGAGGCCCTGAGTTGAGATCCCTGTCCCCCCTCCAGAGAAGCAGTATAGACACTGACCCTCTTCGGGTCCAAGGAGAATGCTGTTGTGGGCCCAGCTTCCTGGGATACTCCCCTAATAGGATCAAAACCCCTCAATGAATTACCTGGGTAAGCTCCCTTTAGCAATGAAAGTGAGAATGTGCATACTGGCTGCCCCTCCAGATAACAATTATTTACACTGCGTTTGATAGAAAATAAGTGATTTTAGTAAGTACAAGCAGGAGGATTTCAGTGGTAATAAGTGAGAACAGGCAGAGCAAAGAAGATTACAAATCAAAAGTAACAAAAACCGCTTGGCTAATTCTAACACTAAAATCCTCGGCACAAACTTTTCAAACTCTCCCTAAAACCTCTTTTCCAAATGCCCCTCCAAACCAGGGCTGTCTCGCCACCCTGAGGTCTTCAGCTCCTTCCTTCAGGTGTAGCCCAGCCAAAAGACAAGACCCCTGCTCTCCTATACTTTTTTCAAGAATTGAAAACCCTACCAACCACTGCTCAGACTTAAGGAAAAAAGAGATTGTTTAATAGTTGTTCATTGAGACATTGAGGATCGCACCCTCAATGTCTCTCATTCACACATTTAAAACCCTCAAAGAATTCCCCACTCCATGGCTACGTCTACACTGGCCCCTCTTCCAGAAGGGGCATGTAAATTTCACTAGTCGTCGTAGGGAAATCCGCGGGGGATTTAAATATCCCCCGCGGCATTTAAATAAAAATGTCCGCCGCTTTTTTCCGGCTTTTAAAAAAGCCGGAAAAGAGCGTCTAGACTGGCCCCGATCCTCCGGAAAAAGTGCCCTTTTCCGGAGGCTCTTATTCTTATTCTTTGAAGTAAGAATAAGAGCCTCCGGAAAAGGGCACTTTTTCCGGAGGATCGGGGCCAGTCTAAACGCTTTTTTCCGGCTTTTTTAAAAGCCGGAAAAAAGCGGCGGACATTTTTATTTAAATGCCGCGGGGGATATTTAAATCCCCCGCGGATTTCCCTACGACGACTAGTGAAATTTACATGCCCCTTCCGGAAGAGGGGCCAGTGTAGACGTAGCCCATATGTCTAATTTTACACACTAAAATGATACCTACATCAAAGTAAAATAAACAGAGCCAGCAGATTATGACTTGAAGACTCATAGGTTACATTAAATAATTTGCTCAAAGCACCTTTATATTATGTATATTCATGTCCATAAGTCCATTTCGTAATGCATGAGGGGGTCCATCACATTTCCCTCAACCTTCCCTGTCTCTCCTGATAGAGCTCTGAAAGTTGAGTCTCTGCTTAGCAGGGTCCTTTCTGTTAACTGTGAGCCCTTTCCTTTGGAACAGATTTAGCACAGTCCTACTTTTCTGTATCCCCACAAAATTACAAACATCAGTACACATATTTCAGCTAGCCCTCAACACAAACAGAGCTGGCTCTGGGTCATACATTAAGTTGATTCCAGTGAGCAAAATACTGCTCCATCTCTGACTATCTAACAATTTTAAGCAAAGCAGGAGCAAACTGTATTTACATAGACACACCCAGCAGTGCCACCACTCCGTTCTCTTTTCCCCTTCTGGAGGTATCTGCAGGCCTCCACCGCACATCTGCCACTGTTGCAAATTGCAGCCACAAAGTCTAGCCCCATGCTTCAAGCTGCAGCCTGTGAAGGCCACACTCTAGTTTGGGTAGATGCAAGGGGAACCCAGGCCTCCCCACTACTCTGATTCCTGACCCAGGGACCCTTTGGCAGTAGTCATCTCCTGTCCTTCTTCTCTCCCCTTGACTGCTCCTATCCCCTGGGCCACTTCCCTGTGCCCCTAGCACCTGCTTGGCCTTTGTGTCAAGGCTGGTTGCCTGGTGGGTGTCAGGTAAGAGTTTCTTTCTCTGTTCCTTTGAGCCTGCCCAGCATTGTACTTCTCCTTTCCTGGGAGCCACTCCTGCACCCTCACTGGGTCAGGCCCCCTCTGCTCACCTGAGCAGCTCCTTATAAAAGAGCTGCCCTAGCAAGCCGCCTTTTAATTGGTTCCTTATAAGCCCTTTCCTGATTCCCACTCTCCTCTGAGCTCCTTTTGTTGTTGTCCTGGTGCATTTTACAGCAAAGTTCATAGTGATTGGATCCCATAACCCTGTCACAGCCATCCTGGGTCAGGAAGTTGTGTTACCTTGTCACCTGTCCCCCCGGATGAGCGCTGCAAACATGGAGGTGAGATGGTTCCGATCTGAGTTTGCATCTATTGTGCATCTGTACTATGATGGGAAGGATCAGTACGACATGCAGATGTCAGAATATCAGGGAAGGACAGAGCTTATGAAAGCTGGACTCACAGAAGGAAATGTTCATCTGAGGATTCTCAATATCAGACGCTCTGATGAAGGACAATACCTCTGTTTTGTACAAGATGATACTGTTTATGAAGAAGCTGTATTGGAACTGCGAGTAGCAGGTCAGTGACTTGTGTCATCTTTGGCTTTGTGTATGGTCTGCATGTTATATTCTTTTCTATTACAACAACTGCGTCTTCTTGCTTGTGAAATATTTTTACAATAACACAATGTATCTAACTTTCAGCAAAAGGCCACTTTCATACTAGAAAAATATGCTGAAAACTTTCCCAACATGTTATTAAAAACATTTTCAGCATGGTTTATTTCCTAAAATAAATTCTTGACCGACTCCCAAAGGAGTCTTTAGTAAGCTCGTCAGTGTTCCTGCAGAAATATTGTGCAGCTCCCGTTCGGGCAAAAGCCCTCTTGCGCAAATCATTTGCGCAAGAGGGCCAGTGTAAACAGCACAGTACTGTTTTCCACAAAAAATCCCCGATCGCGAAAATGGCAATCGGGGCTTTTTTGCGGAAAACTGCGTCTAGATTGGCCATGGATGCTTTTCCGCAAAAAGTGCTTTTGCGGAAAAGCGTCCTGCCAATCTAGATGTGATTTTTCCAAAAATGCTTTTAACAGAAAACTTTTCCATTAAAAGCATTTCCGGAAAATCATGCCAGTGTAGACGTAGCCTTAGGGTAAGTTTGCAATACATTTTAGTGTATTAGAACTAGCTATGCATTGTCTATCATTTTAATGCTGTAGTTTACTTTGCTCTGTCTGTTTTTACTTGCAACCATTTAAACACTACTGCTTGCACTTAACAAAACACTTTTGTTTACTATTTAGCCCAGGGTAAATTATTGTTACCTGGGAGGAACAATTAGTGTGTACATTCTCCCTTTCATTGATAAAGGGGGCTTACCTGAACAACCATTCATTACGCAAAACTTTTACACCCAAAGAGATGGATTTATTTGGGATTTTGATCCCATTTTGGGATTGGTTTCCTGAGTGCTGTGCCCTAAAACAGCATTCTCCCAGAGCTGAAGTTGTTGAATGTCTGCATTGCTCTTTGGAGGGGGGAAGGGCAGTTACTTCAGCTCTGCTTTGTCTGTGGGAGACCAGAGAATCTGGCCCAAAAGGACAGGGTGGTGGAGAGCCCCAGGGTATGTCTACACTGCAATGCTATTTTGGGATACTTCCAGCATCTCGAAATAGCTACCCCATGACTTTTGAACACGTCCGCTATTTCAAAATACAGCAGATGCGCTATTTTGCCATCCCTGTAAACCTCATTCTATGAGGAGTAAAGGATGGCTCAAAATAGTTCTTTATTTCGAAATTTGGCGCTGTTTAGACAGCGCCAAATTTCCAAGCTTATATTGAGTTTTGGGTGCTGTGTAGATGCACTGCCAGGGAGCAAGACAGTGAGTGTCAGTAGCATAATCAGCATACCAGGAAACAGTCCAAAGTTGTCTTCTGTAACTGCATCCTGTCACACCAGTATCATATTACTGTTGTGAATATACAGTGCAGAGTGTCACAGTGAGAAGCAAAAATTATCTTTGCCACTCTTAGACAAAAACAGCAGTTCTTCCTTCCCCCCTCACTCCTCCTCTGTTCTTAAACCTGTTTCGTCATTTTTATATGTGTTCACTTTTTTTTATTGTATCACTTTGGTATATATGGTCATGCCAATTTTCTTCCACTTATTGATCTGAGGAAGTGGGTCTGGCCCACGAAAGCTCATCATATATATAATATCCCAGTGTCTGTGAGGGTATATCTACACTACCATCCTAGTTCGAACTAGGGTGGTTAATGTAGTCATACGAAATTGCAAATGAAGCCCGGGATTTGAATTTCCCAGGCTTCATTTGCATGTTGCCGGGCGCCGCCATTTTTAAATGTCCGCTAGTTCGGACTCCGTGCCCGCGGCTACACGCGGCATGAACTAGGTAGTTCGGAATAGTACTCCTCATGGAGAAGACCGATGTGGAGGAAAGACCTGAAAATCCCGCCTTATGACGGGCTAATTGGCTAGTCACCTAATAAACCATTTTGTTAGTCTTTAAAGTGCTGCATAGTCCTGTCTTTTGTTCCTTGTTGTTTGACACTAATACCATGAAGCCAATTGGATTTTTAAATTAATATCTATCTAACGCACTTGTAATCAGATTTTCAAACATTCAGATCTATTCAGATATATACATTGTCATTATCTTCAAAGGTTCTGAGTGCTCAGTTGCTCTGTGTTGAGCCAACAATATTTCCTATTGACTCTGTGAAATTATTTAAAATATTTGTTCACATTATTGTGTGTCCATGAGCACCAGGATTTCAGTCATTCCAGTGTTTATTCTTTCTACTGACTACCTGCTTGAATTAGTGCTTTTTCATGTGACCAACAGATCCACAAACACTCCTTCATCCATTCTGCTGCCCGTGTTCTTTAGGGCAGGGAGCTGGCAGTGTGGGGAGGTGCAGGAATCAGAGCAGGGCCTTAGGGATGTGAAGGGTCAGAGCAGGAGGCTGAAAGGGTGTGTGAGAGTGAGGATTGAGAAGTGAGGTGGGGGTCAAGGTGGGGGATCCCCTCCAGCATGGGCATTTTCTCTCCCCCAGCCCTCCCCGTAGCAACTAGGGGCCTTTTCTTTACCCCAGCCCTCTGGCATCCAGGGGCCTGTTCTCTCCCTCGGCTGCTAGGGACCTTTTCTCTGTCTCCTCACCAGTGCTGTGGCCAAGGGCCAGAGGGAAGGCGTTTGGGGCAGGGGATCTACTTACCTGGTGAGCTGGCAGACAAGATTGTGGAGCCCCAGCCCTGCTGGCCATTTCCTTGGGTCTGGTTAATTTGGAAGAGAGAAACTTGGGGGGGGACATGAAAGCTTGAGGGGAGACATCAAATACCTACAAGGAGGAGGGAGAAAAATTGTTCTTGTTGGTCTCTGAAGATAAGGCTTAAAATGCAGCAAGAGAGGTTTAGGTTGGACATTAGGAAAAATTTCCTACCTGACAGTAGGAATAAATTGCCTGGGGAGATTGTGGAATCTCCATCTCTGGAGATATTTAAGAGCAGGTTAGAGAGACACCTGTCAAGGATGGGCTATATGGTGCTTGGTCCTGCTATGAGGGTAGGGGACTGGACTTGATGCCCTCCCAAGGTTCCTGCCGGTTCTTGTTAGTCTGGTTCTATGACTCTGCACTATAGCTCTTATAGTATAGTGCCTTCCTGCCCCCAGTGGCCACTCTTCGGCTGCATCTAGACTGGCATGATTTTGCGCAAACACTTTTAACGGAAAAGTTTTTCCGTTAAAAGTATTTGCGCAAGAGAGCATCTATACTGGCATGTGCCTTTGCACAAAAGATTTGCTTTTGCACAAAAGCATCCGTGCCCAGTGTAGATGCTCTCTTGCACAAGAAAGCTCTGATGGTCATTTTAGCCATCGGGCTTTCTTGCGCAAGAAATTAACTTGCGCAAGAGGGCTTATCCCTGAGCGGGAGCGTCAGAGTATTTGCGCAAGAACTGCTGATTTTGTACAGTACAAAGTCCGTGTTCTTGCGCAAATACTCACAGCCAGTGTAGACAGGCAGGGAAAAATTGTGGCAAAAGACAC